CTGATGTATGTCTTTAATCGGGCTGCTGTAACGATGATGTTTGATTACATTGTTTGAACACAGTGACCTCGATATTGTAGTGAAACACAGAAGATCATTTACTAGTTCCTATATTGTGCCTGAGTACAAACTGTCTCTGATTTGATTGCTACTTGTGAATGTTTATGTTCCACAGACTTTGATTATTAACCCCAACAACTGAATCAGTTATTAACTAACCATAGTTAGTACTAAGTTACAGACTAACTATAGATTATATGTTAAGGAGTTTGAAAGTATTAAAAGTACTATGTAAAATGTGTAGTTATGTGTAAGATGAAGTGCAGTACCACGTAGAGGTATGAATCAGTCAGTGAGACGCAAATGAAGTTATTCAGAGTGGTTTAATAGTTCAGAGTGGTTTAAAATGGAGAGTGGTTTATGGAGAAACCTAATGTCTTGGATTTCTTCACAATGGTGATAGTAAGCAGGAGTCACAATGTGTAAAATGCAAATACAGCCATATGTACTACTATATTTACCATACAAAATGACCTGTGTGTCTACATGTGTATAGTGAGTTTTAAACCACTCTGAATGACTTTATTTACACTTTACGTTCTTTACCCCATGCACCCCCACGTAAACCAAAATGTGAACATGTGAACTGTATAAGGTATCTATAACTACATTATGAAATACTGCACTGAGATAACTAGAATAGCCGCCGCCCACTCTTACACCCAGCCCTGATTATAAGACTCTGCTGAGACATATCATTCTCCTCGATTAGCGAACCACATGGCTTTTGATGGGCCTCATTCCTGCACACTGAGTGGAATGGCATAATAGGCACTCGGTAACAAGCAATTAATCCCCCAGTCTCCATCTTTCAGCCCTGCCGTCAGAAGCAGAGGGACAGGGGCTGTGCTGCTGGGGACAGCTCAGCCAAGCTTGCTCAATGAATGGCCATAAGTCATTTTCCTCCATCCATGATTGAGACTGAGTCATGTCTACCAGTGAGCCATGCTTACACTCATTAGAGCTGCAACTAAAGATTATTTCTATTATTAGTTCACTTATTTATTTCTTAATTAACTGACTGGTCTGCCTTCTTTAGTTCCTTTTCCACTGCTTTCAAACACAGGTATCACCATGAACAGGAGTAACATAAAGAATAAAAGTATCAGGGCTCCTGAGTGGCACAACCGTCTAAGCGTTGTCCCTATCATCAGGAGATTGCACGTTCAATCCCTGGTGATGCTACAGCCATCCGTGGCTGGGTGTCCAAGAGAGCACAATTGGCCTCACTCTCTGGGTGGGTAGGATGGCCCCACCTCTCCCCACATCACTCAGTGCGATGTCAGCGCAGGCATCTGTTAGCTGTTGTAACAGAACTGGCGTTTGGCGTGTTCAGCTGTCCAATGATGTTGCGTTAGCGGCAGCTCGAAAAGATGCAGTGGCGCCTCACAGGTCTCGAAGGAAACCTGAGCTAGCCTTCGCCCTCCTAGCGCTGATAGCATTGTGTGATTGGGGGAGAAATCCTGTCACCATGGACAGAACAGTAATAGTACTGCAAGTAATACAGGCATCACCATCGACAGGAGTATTAACGTAAAGAATTAAAGAATCACCAAGGGCAGAACAATATTACTGTACAACACAGTGTACAGAACACTAGTTTTACTGTAAATATTAAAGGCTACTGCTTACTGGCTGAGAAGCAGCATGCATTTAGCGACATACACGTACAGTCATACACATGGCACATTTTATTATTTTTTTTTTTTCAATATTTTAAACTACATTGCTATATTTAAGTTTGTTTACTGTAGATGCTGTGTTATTTTACATTTTCATTTAATACTTCATTCATACTGTTTAAATGGAATAAAACTAAATTTCCACATTGACTTTTTTTCATAATTGATACTGTCAAATTTGCTACAGTCCTGTTTCCGAGGTAATCTGGGCTATGCCGCCCTGAGTGTAGCCAGGTGTATGCATGTGTATGAAATTATAGTCCATAACATCTCTTCTGAAGCTTTCTGCCCAAACAGCCATCCGATTTGCCTTAAGCTGTACTTTAGTGCTGTTCAGACAAATGTCCCTGCTGTGGCCGCCTGACGAATATTTGGTAGGTTAATGTGAGCGGCCCTTTGCCGTCCAGCCAACCTCTTTGCACTCTCAGTTGAACAGTCCTGTAATTTTTGCTGGAGGGAAATGTTCCATTGCTTGCTGTGTGTGTTGTGTGTCATAGAAAGAAACTTTTTTTTTTTTAGAAAAGAGCCATCAGACCCCTTCAAGGACCCCATGCTCTTGTGTTGAATGGAATTATGGTGCTGAAAAGGAGTCATGTGGTGCTGTGTGAGAGAAAGAGAGAGTGAGAGAAAGGTAAAGGGTGGGAGTAAATGGCAGTCTAAGCGCTACCTCTAACTCAATAAAGAGGCCTGGAAAAACTTACACAGATCGAAACCTCAGCTACCGTCTCTGCCTCTCCTAATTATTTCATTTGAGTAAATGATTGTGCTTGTGCCTCCTGTCAGTTTATTGGCCCTGATCTCGCAGCAGCATTGTGTGCATGTGTGTGTGAAAAACTGAGAGTGAGAAATAAACAGATGTGGGCATGGCTTTGTTGTCTTGTGGCGTGCATATTGTGACCTTTATTCACTTTTGTGCATTACATGAAATATATGAAATGAATGTTGCTTCTTTTGGCAGAACTGCATCATTACCATGGATATGTTCTGTAGACAAAACAATAGTGTTAAATAAAAGTATCACCATGGACAAAATATGAATGTTACTGTAAATAATACAGATATCATGAACAAGAGTAACAAAGAATAAAAGTATCACCATGGGCTTGCATTATAATCATTAAAGCTGTATACATCAGCTGGGAGCCTCAGAGTACAATGCAAAGGGCTGCTTCTGATGTGACCTGTTTCTCTGCTATTCCACCTCAAACTGGAATAAAAAAAGTCTTACATACAGAGAAAAAGAGTGAGATTTGTAAGAACCTTCCAGTAAACAGTTTGGAGAGAAACTGCCAGAGTGCTAGAAGTTAGAGGTGAATACTTCTGTTTTGTGTTAGCTAGTTAGCTATGTAGGCTTAGCAAATATAAGTTAGTATAACCGAGCTGCCCAACGCCAGAGTGGTATAATGCTATTTGAACTATGTTATTAAGACTACTGATGTTAAATGTGAAGATAAAACATAACCTGTTATGATCTCTATTAAATACATGCCCCAAACCACAGCTACTCAGCTCAGTCAGTAAAGCAGCTGTCTTCTGATAGGTCCGTTGTTTGTTTACATTTTGACTTGATGCGCACACCCGATGTTTCCAGTGTAGACTCCTTGAAGGCTTTGCAACGCGATGCGATGCTACATTTGAACACTCGCTTGCTGTTAGAACACAGTGTTAATTTTTTCCCACTGTGCTGCTAGTAAAGTTCCCACTGCGAGTGAAAACAGCTGTTTAGATGTTCTCTTAATTGCTCGCAGGCCCCCCTAATGGCTCAGGCCCTTGGGCACATGGCCATAAAACCCATTGGATGATCTGGGCCTGTCAGATACAGCTTAAATCCAAAAATCACTCACCTTTTCCCTTTTAAACGTGTTAGAAATTAGAGCTTTTTTTCCTTTATTAGGTCTAAAAAATGTCTTAATTAAATGTGTTTTCCTTTATTTACATGCATTTGCCTCAACTCAGCTAATGAAAAGCACCCAATTCACATTCATTTTGTTGCATGCAGAGCATGTGAGTGGTGAGGAGTGGGAGCGGAGTGACATAATTTTGCTCGCAGTACAGAGTGGCTTTTCAGAAAGCCGGAGTGTCAGTGTTCTCTCTTGTTCCGAAATCACTCCAGTATCGCTCAATCCCGCAAGCGAGACAAGTCTGTTTTTTTCCCCACATTAACTTCTAACGTTCTAAAGACATTATGCAGAGTTTGTCGCATGTCGTCTATTTTGCTTTGCGAATGATAGAGAAGTTGGTGTAAAAAGCACATGGCTTTGCTTACTCCTGGCAGTTTTCTAGCTTGTGATTGGGCTGTCACTTCAGGCCTATACCTTCTGAAAAAAATTTGTAGAGCACAGAATGTTTAACTAGTTGTTGATGTAATAACAGCCATAAATAATATAACTGATGAAATGAAGTATGTAATATCTTGTTCATCTTTTCAAGACATAAAGTAAATATTATAAGAATGGATCATATGGAGTGCAGATGTGGGGGTGACCTGAGCGAGGAGCGGGAAATAGAAAACCCAGAGCAGAGCTAGAGCAGAGTGATTACAGAAATGCTTTGAGCGAGGAGTGGAAATAACTGCTGCTCCACTCCACTCACATGCTCTGGTTGCGTTGTAAACATATGACTGTAAAAGCGAACAAATGGAAAATATGTGGTTGGTTTAAATAAATGAGATCAGCTCAAATAATTGCAATCAGGCAATTATGTAATGTGACAAGCCTAGGCAGCATCCATCTATGCAGAACATGGGTGATAGGGTGAACACCTTAATTAGAAACAATGGTTCCTAATTTTTGGACACTGTCATTCATCCGTCATGCTTAAAAGTGACATCCCGTACAAAAGTGTGAATATATATACATATGTGTATATATATATATATATATATATATATATATATATATATATATATGTGTATGTGTGTGTATCACTGTTGTATATACACTGTGTATATATATATATATGTAAGTATATCGGCATTACACACATATATTGCTGCTGTCGGACCAAAACCTTGTATCTCCAGAATGGTAACTTTACAGGAGAAGGGAAAAACATACCAGACACAAGTAATTCTGGGCCATTTCTTTTGGTCCATTCATTATTAAATTTACACACAATATAAAGGACAGCAGGTATTTTCAAATTATGTCGAAAACTGAAAAACAGCAGTGATATATACATACATATAAAGCATTAGAAGTATAGTATATGGCAGTGTAGGGACCTCTGTGGTGAAGTTACCGTGCGTTTGTCTGGCAGGTTTCCCGGCGACGGCGTATGGACCGGTGGCAGCGGCGGCGGCGGTGGCAGCAGCGCGAGGCTCAGGTAGGGGGGCCCGTGGAAGAGGCGGCTACGTGGCATACCCACAGAACTCGGGGCCAGGTAAACGCTCTGACCGCGTGTGTTCTGTGTGGCTACCGCTGTGTCCATCCTCTTCAGCACACACATACACACACACACACAAACAAACATATATATTCATACTCTTAGACATAAGCTGAGACACACACTTGTACACCTTAAATAAGAGAGTGGCAGCTTAACTGGATCTCCCCAAAAGAATTAAAGAACTAAACCACTAGCACCGTTTTTGTTTTGTTGTTTTAAGTTAGTATGTTGGTGTGCTTTAACCCTCAGTAAATAACATTCAACCCACATTATTTGTTAGTGCGAGAGAAAGAAGCATATTTAAAGGTGCACAGGCAAACAAACCTACACACACTAAGGCATTGATCAGCACACAAACACGTACACACGCACACGCCTGCGTGCGTACAGCACCGGAGTGGCGCCCTATTATCCAGACTGAGTTGAAGGAATGGAATTTTCTCCTCCTCATCACTCTTCATTGATTGGCTCCTCAGCTTGATGAACAAATCTGCCTTAGTCCTCCTCAATAGCACTAAGTAAATCAATGGCTTCTCACTAAAGTCCGGCTGCCTGTCATCGGCATCCTTAATCGGCGGGCAAACGCCCAGAGGGGACTGAGGCTTTTCATTTAGTTGTTTAAGCACCATCTTGGAGCAGGACCCCTCTGAATGGCCAAGCCAACGGTGTACTCCCTGGTTATTGGCCCACCCTTGTTTTGAGGCATCTGCTCGGACACGGACCCAAGACGATTTCAGGGTGACTCAGAAAGATCTGGGGGCTCCTGGGGTTTCTTGTATGTCCCAAAGCAAGTGGACCATTCATACAAATGTTCTGTGGGCCTCCTGTTTAAGGAGTGTAGATAAACTGTTGCGCACTGCGAATACACTGGATACTTCAGTACCTGAAGTTTTTGGAGGATAGACAAGCTGTTCTATGACGGTTTGGACTGCTGTAGATGGATCTAAGATACAGCCCTCGTGTGTAGTTTAGTACAGAAAGCCTATAGCTTTTCCTTTGCTTTGAGTGCTGAATACGTCTCAAATACTCATAAAAATAATGATATGCTTTTTGAACTGCGATTGTAGAAACAGCCAAAAAAATAATTCCATTGGGAATGTGCGTGTTAATGCCCTTGTATTTGTGTATGTGACATTCACCACTGACGCTAGCGTGTGAAATGTGTGCGTGATATAATCCATGTGTGTTAGCCGCAGAGTGGCAAGGGCAAGTGAAAGGCTGTGTATGTATGTGTGTTTGTGTGTGTGCAGCTACACTCCAACCCTTCGCACTCCTCAACTGTACTAGTGGCTAATATCAGCAGACAGATCAGTGCAGGGTGGGACTAGGCGTCCCGGATAGTGACGGGTGATGACTGTCGAGGGTGGGGACTCTCTCTCCCTGCTCTCCTCCCCATCATCGGTGCAGTCCCTGTCATACTTACTCAGCTGCTCCTGCCTCTCTTCCTTAAATCTGACTGCAGTGCTTGTAGAAGCACCTGTTCTTTTACATTATCCTTAACTTTATGATTCACTTTCCTCAGGCGTAGTTGTTTTCTCTTGGCCCTCAGCATAGAGAACAAGCAGACTGACTTGGAGTAATGACTGTAGGTTGAGGCAGAGAGTCTGCCTGTATCTGTGCCTGTCCCTTTGCCTGTTCCTCTCTTTGTCCCTCTACCTATCATTCTGTTTGTCTCTGCCTGTCCCACTGTTTGTCTCTTTCCCTGTCCTTCTGCGTGTCCCCCAACATTCCCTTTCTCAGTCCTTCTGTCTGTCTCCGCTTATTCCTCTTCCTAGTCCCGCAGCCTGTCCTACTGTCTATTCCTCCATAACATCTAAGAATTATTCAGTAATTACTAAGAAACAACTATGCAAGGTATGTGAGGAATGGAAGTCTGGACTTGCTATGGGACAAAAGGTCTGGGCTGTTACATATGGATCTGAGAAGGCTTCTGGACTGTGTAGGACAGTACCAAAAGTGTCTCTCTGCCTGTCTGTCTGTATCTGGACCTCACCGGAAGGCAGGCATGAGTGTTCTCCACAGGGGGCTACACCACAGGAGGCTCGTTGCCCTCTGGAGCCCTGTCTCTCACACTCACAGCCTGCCCGCCAGCCTGCCTAGCTTGGCCGACAGTGTTTGCATGTGTCCGACTGCCGTGCTGGCACACATCACAGTAGTCGCCCCTCCTGCTGCCTCTCTCTCTCCACTGAGAAATGTCCTCTGGCTCACTCCCTCTCCTTTCCACTCTCACGCTCTCAGTAAGACAGGCTGTCCGCTGGAGGAATGCACGTGTCTCTGCGGAGATCCACTGGATATTTTTTCCCCCTCTCTTGGTACCTCTCAAGGTCTCTTCTCCAGATCGATCCCCACCTCCACCCCCTCCTGGCTCATTAAAGCTGAGGATGGCTTTTGTGTTGCCCCCACATAATTTCTTCTTCTCTTTTTTTTTGCTTACCTTATCACCAGGGTGTGTTTGTATCGTTCATTTGCCTTCTCCTCTCCCTCTCTATCTCTCCCTTGTGACTTGCTGGTTGTCGGGAAGATGCTAACAGAATGGAGCACGACGATGCCTCTCGTCAGCAGAAGAGTGTGTAGTCGAGGCAAGCCAGCTGTCCCTTGCTGCTCAATAAGTGTATTGTGCTGAAGGTTAACATTGCCCCCAGCTTTCTCTTGAATAAGCAGTTCTCTGGCAGGGCTTTTTCAATGGCCAATCACCGCTGCATTTAACCCCGGTGTCCCACCAAACTGCGAGCACAGGCGCTTTCGCACAGCTTTCACTGAAAGCATATTACCAGGCGTATGGGTGGCAGGAACTCTGTTTTTGCTAATGAGGCCGGAGACAAATGTTCTTGTCTAATTATACTGTCTCCATCCAAACAACAACACGCTTAGCCTATTCGCAGGAGAGGTCAGGCTTCCTTTTAGTCTGGCTGCAATAGGGAATTGGGCCAATATTACATATCATGTTTGTATTCTGTTTGCAAACTCCTGGTCCCTCTTCGTCCTCTTCCTCATCCTTTTCTTATGGCTTTCACTGCCAGCCCATCGTGGCCACATTACCCTGATGAAATGAGGAGGATGATGTTGTATGAAGCCCAGTTCTGGCCTGATGAAGCCTGTGGCTGCCTGGACACGGAGTTGCTCTCATTTGGCTGAGTGCTTTCCATTATATGGAGATCATTATCTATTTTGTCCCAACGAGTTCTGCCATACTGGAACAAAGCAACTTCACAGAGGACCCTCCTAACCTGGATTGCTGCAGTAAGATCACTGAAAAATCTAATTCATACAATTTTATTATGCAATTTTATTTATACAATAATGGATGTAAGCTCCCATTATGTGTTAGCCAAATTAGCCATGCTGCCTCAGTGCAAAACTAAACAAACAAACTTCATGTAGCAAAGAGGTCTTGGATGATGGACTACATTTGGGGCAAGTTGAGAATTGTGCAAGTTTGATTTTATCTAAATGTTTCTTTAAACTGACCCCTACAAGCATCCGTCTATCGCCTCCCATATACACCCTGACATGCACACACAAGCCATCCCAGCTGCTGTTCCAGCCCTCGCCAGCATGCGCCTGTGGAAGAGGACCGACCGCAGCTTTGCTGTTCAAGAGTGCTCCACATGACACAGGTCCCACTGGCCCCCGTCGCAGGAAGATAAATGTTACACATAAAGGTTAGAGAGGCCGCTGCTTCCCCCCCTTGTTCTGTTCCAGGATGGACTCCTCTGCACAGCTGTGGTGGGCAGATGCTCAAAGAGGACCTCCGGGAGGGACCATCCTGAGCTTCAAAGGGGGATAGAGACTTCAGTGGTGCAAAGCTGAAGAACACTTTCATCTCCCCACACATGCAGCCGGTCTTGAGAAAACCTCTGATTTTTTTTTTTTCACCTTTAAAACAATCAGAATGTGTGGCACATTTTTGGAAGCTTCCATAGCCTAGAGAACATCAGACTCTAAAGATTTATATCCCAAGTCGTGGCATTCCAGGCATTTGGAAGCAATTCGGGCAGCACACAAAAGCCGCACGCGCTGCAAGGGAGACCTGAGCGGAGGCTAGCGAACGCGAGAATAAATCATCTGTTAAATTTCATTAGCCAAGCCTCCCTGAGCACAAAATGACAAGACATTAAATATGTATTATTTATGAAATGTCGGCACTCTCCGAAAGAGTGGTGTAGTGGTGTTAATTAGTCACCCGTTCAGTCAGAAAAGGGCCTATTTTAAATGGAAAGTGAAAGCTAACTTCAGGCCTGCGCAGGGTTTTCATAGGTGGAAACGAAGTAGCTAATTATAGCTGCTCTGAAATGCAAAGCTCATTTGGGGAGGCATATGACAGGCTTATTGACATCTGCCCTGGATGTGCACTTGATGGCCAGAGATTTAAGTGGAAACAGAGTAAAGAGGGGCAAAGAAAGCTATGTGTAAGTGTATACGTCACTGAAGCACTGATGTCAGAATCTTCATAGACTTGTGTTAGTGAACGGTGATCTACTCTTAAAAACCTTCTCCCCTTCAAACTGGCTCTGAAGTGGTAAAGTGGTGGGGAATATGCCCTGTGTTTTTTCATACACGATAGGGTGCTTTGTTTGCTGTGTGTGTGTTTCTCCTCTTCCTTATCTTTCCTTTAGCCTGGAGTGAGAGAAAAAGCAGTACTTTTGGGGCAGTGGTTTGGAATTCCTCCTCGGAGGCAGTCATCTGGTAAAGTGGAAATGAGAGAGGAGCATTTATCCACTCGAAGAGAGCCACTCTCGTGATGGCAGCATGCAGAGAGAAAGAGAGAGAGAGAGAGAGAGAGAAAGAGGAATGGAAGTGAAAAGCTGGAGAGAGCTGAATAGCAGTGGCTGATGTTGGGTGATGGCCGCCCCCGTGTCCATCCCCCTCTTTTCTTCGGGCGGTGGGCGAAAGGCAGAGAGAGAGAGGGAAGAGGAGCGATAATTATCGGCAGAAAT